AAATTTATTCCTAAATATTTTATTTTCTTTGTAGCTATTGTAAATGGGATTGTTTTCTTGATTTCTTTTTCAGAGAGTTCACTCTTAATATATAGAAACACTACTGATTGCTGTCTGTTTGTATCCTGCAACTTTACTGAATTTATTCTAACAGTTTTTTGGTGGATTTTTTTGAGTTTTCTGTATATAAGATGATACTGTCATCTGCAAAAAAGAACAGTCTATTCTTTCTTTTCAATTTGGATGCCTTTTATTTCTTTCTCTTGCCTAATTGCTCTGGCTAGGACTTCCAGTACTATGTTGAATAGAAGCAGTGAAAGTGGGAATCCTTTTTTTTTTCCTGATCTTGGAGGAAAAGTTTTAGTTTTTCAGTGTTGAGTATGGTGTTAGCTGTGAGTTTGTCATATATGGCCTTTCTTGTGTTGAGGTACATTCCTTCTGTACCTAATTTGTTGAGCGTTTTCATAATGAAAGGATGTTGAATTTTCTCATGCGTTTTGTGTGTCTATTGATTGAGATGATCATATGGTTTTTGTCCTTCATTCTGTTAATGTGATGAGATTTGCCTATGTTAAACCATCCTTGAATCCTGAGATAAATCCCACTTGATCATGGTGAATAATTTTTAATATGCTGTTGAATTTGGTTTGTTAGTATTTTGTTGAGAATTTTTGCATCTGCGGTCATCGAGGATACTGCCCTGTAGGTTGTTTGTTTATTTGTTTTGTATTGTCCTTGTCTGGCTTTGTTATCAGGGTAATGCTGGCCCCATAAAATGAGTTTGGAAGTGTTCTCTTCAATTTTATTGGAAGAGTTTGAGAAGGACTGGTATTAGATTTTCTTTAATGTTTGATAGTATTCAGTGGTGAAGCCATCAGGTCATGGTCTTTTCTCTGATGGGAGACAGGTTATTACTGATTCAATCTCCTTATTTATTACTGGTCTATTCAGATTTTCTTTTTCTTCATGATTCAATCTTGGTAGGTTGTTATGTGTCTAGGAATTTATCTACTTCTACGTTATCCAATTTGTTGGCATATAATTGTTCATAATAGTCTCTTAAGATCCTTTGAATTTTTGTTGTATAAAAGATTTTCATATTCTGCCTTTCTGACTTCTCTACTGCTTGTCTCCCATTCTTCCTGAATAATTCAGGACAAAAGCCATTTGCTTGTTCTGTACGAGTACAGGTAGATGTTGCCATAGGGGCAATGGTGGTGGCCCAGTGTGGGATTATACTATGGAGCCTGAGAACAATTGAGGGTAGGAGGGAGGGGGATCATGGTGATGTGGAATAAGAAGGCAGCAATAGGAGATTAGTTATTTTTGAGGAACACTGATCTATTAGGTAAATACATTGAGGCTAATGGGAGCCAGATTTCTTACAAAGAAGAGAATTACAAATATGGAAGGTGAGAAAACTAGAATAAGGTTGGAATTGGAAGTACTGCTATAAACTCTTATAGCTTTCAGTATGTGTAGATACAAAGATATATAGATGTGTGTGTAGTATGGGGGTGGGGCATATGTGTGTGTGTGCATTTGTTTTTGTTCCCTAGCTTTGTTCCATCAGATGGCTTGGGAGCAGCAATGCCACAATAGCAATGAGCACACCTAGTACCCAGATCTTGGTTTTTAAATACCATTTTCCGCTAAAAGAGACCAGATCTTAGAGAAATAGCCCATTCCAGGGCTAGTTCAGAGGAAATACAAAGATGAACATGGAATGTCTTTTTGTATTATAAAGTAAGAACATCCCCAAAGAATGATGGGGACGTGTCAAAAGGGCACGGAAGCCAGCTCGAAGGGGCTCCCACTGGCTAAATCAATTAGAAATCAAAATAAATGATGTTAACAACAAATTACAATACATCAAATAAAATAGTAAGCCACAGGCCAGGCGCGGTGGATCACGCCTGTAATCCTAGCACTCTGGGAGGCTGAGGCGGGCGGATTGTTTCAGCTCAGGAGTTCGAAACCAGCCTGAGCAAGAGCGAGACCCCGTCTCTACTAAAAATAGAAAGAAATTAATTG